TTTCGTGAAATATAAATAACTATAAGATTGAAGAATGAAATCATCAACAATTTTTGCATTATTTGCATGCATCAGCATATCAGCCATAAAAACCCATGCATGGGGTAATGAAGGGCACATTACCGTTGGTAATATTGCCCAAAACATACTCACGCCCGAAGTTGCGGGAAGAGTAAAGCAAATTTTCCAAGATCCAACATTTAATGGACAACTTGGTCCTGCCTCGATTTGGGCCGATGAAGTTAAACATCAAAAAGGAGAATACTACAGATGGAGTGAATCATTGCATTATTTGGATACGAACGATGACCCAGGAAAGAGTTGCTCGGTCGATGTGGTAAATCAAATTTAATTTTAGCCATATAAACGTCGGCGTTCTAATTTTATTTAATTGAATTCACCACGATAGAACAAAGATTGTCCAGATGGTAACTGTATCGTCGCTGGTTAGTATCGTAATATAATCCTTATTAAGAAAAAAATATAATATAAAGCGCAGACACGAACTTTAAATTCTAGCCATTGCGAATTACACGGAACAACTTAATTGCTCGAATGGCGGTAGTGTTAAAACTCGGGATGTTGCACTTCGATTTTTAACTCACTTTTTTGGCGACATAACTCAACGTAAGTTATATGGAATGAGATTGCTTGAAATAAAACAGCTAAGCTAAACTTTTTTATTATATAGCACTTCATGTCTGTGGTCGCGAACTTGGAGGAAATAAACAAAAGATTACGTTCGATGGAGAGGAGAAGAAGTACGTATACATATACGCAACATATAATGATTTCCAATTCTAAGACATTTAACTTTATTACTAGTCTCCATTCAATATGGGATACAGCGATGGTAGTCAAACGTATCGGAGACTTTGGAGACGATGTACAAAAATACGCAGATTTTCTCACGAACGAAATAAAAACAGGAATGTATGAACAAAACTCGACAGATTGGATTGCATGTGATTCCACAAAAAGACGTAATTCTCTTTTCGATAATGGCTCATTGCAAAGACGAGCAGAAGCCGAGAGTACAAGGTGTCCTTTTGTCTGGGCGACTGATACCAACAGTATTAATTGTGGGTTCGTTTGGGATTATGTGGATGCTAATCCTGATGCTGATTTATCGGATGAATATTATAATCAAGTTCAACCGATTATTGATATGCAACTTGCCAAGGGCGGGTATAGACTAGGTGTATTTTTGAACAATCTTTTGGGTGATAGTGAATGCTCGAATTCGAATGGAAATCAAGCTCCAAGTAATAATGGAGATAATATTAACGATAATAATAGTAATAACGATAACGGTGGAAAAAAGGGAAAAGGGAAAAAAAAGGGGAAAGGAATAAAAGGCAAAGTTAGCATAACAATCAATCGCGTTGTTCTTTAAAAATTAGCATGATGACTCATTATTTGTATAGAAAAAATTATCATGTGACATAATTATCAATAAAATTCGTTATCTTTATAATCATATTTTTTATAAGAATGATTGAACAAAGTCAAAGTAGTCGCCGTTTGTTTTCGACACCTAAACAATCAAACTCTCGAAATATAATCGGATCTCTAATATTCTGTGATCAATGTGGAAATTTATTGCAATTTGATGAAGAAGGAAAACTTATCGAATGTCAAGTTTGTGATAATTCAACAAATGTCCAAGGTTAAATTAATCGATTAATAAATATTTTAATTCTTCAAGTCTTAACGTCAATTACACAATCAAACTCCCTTCAAAAAAAAGAATTCAGTGACCTAAAAATAGTCTCAAAAAGCGATCCAAACTCATTCAAGTCTCGATTAAGAGAAAAACGATCAAAAATTCAGGAAAACCATCAATTGAATGAAGAAGCAACTGTAAGATTAATTAAAAGCAAATTATTATGATTTGTTGTTTATAATTTTTATCTCTTATTCTTTCATAATACAACTAAAGATTAAAGATAAATGCCCACATTGTGGAAACGAGGAAATGAGTTTCCGCACCATGCAACTTCGGTCTGCTGATGAAGGACAAACAATTTTTTATCATTGTAAAAAGTGTGGGTGCGTATTGTTGCCACTTTGAAATTTTTAATTAATCCATATCCTAATTATCTATGTACTTTCAGCTATAAA